CTCTGAAAATCAAGGTTATCACATTGTGGAGTTGAGTTCAAAAGTTCGACAGATAGTAAAATCCATGGTTTATTACCGTGATCATGGTTTCAACTTGGATAAAGGCAACAATAAACTCATGGGTTGTGCCTTTGTTCTGAGGATTTAATGTAGACAAAGACACACAGAATAATGACATATACAATAAAAAGACGGTTGCTTCTTCTTCTTACTGATAAGATATTGGAGGAATGAGGGAGTGCGGCCAAAATATCCCTACATGTTTGTTAGAAGAAAAGCAGTCCTTCGTTGTCCACCAGTTAAGGCTTTCAAGGTTCAAAGGTCAAAATAGTTCTATGTTGCATCCAAAGTTCAATGTTGAAAATTTCTACGACAAACTGTCTTAATCTCAGTTTTATTGACATTATTATAAAGCTTCCAGCATTCTTTTTTGTTTTCTCAGACTCCTTCAATCCTTATCAAAATATTTCAGCTTATTTTCCATTACAAAAAGAGTTTATTGACCTGAAGAGGAATTCACATCCTGCACTAATTGGCTTCTTGCACATTTTTTTTTATCTGATTCTTTCAAAACAATAATAATTTCTCAGGAAAATAAGTTGGTTAGTGCTAACCCTTTCAACATGTCATCCCAGTTTGTTTTGTAATACTACATTAATAAGCACGATGATGTGAAGTGCCTGCAGTGTGTCTGTTAAAACAGCTGTCATGATGTATGACCCCCTCTAACCCTGTGTCCTCAGTGCATGATGTCAGTATCAGTGTCTGGAAATGAGTTCATATGTGTCATCAGGATTCAACCAGCTTGATGGTGTTCAAACATTGGCAGCTTAGCGCTGCTGCAGATTCTATATTCTGTTCTTTTATTTTCCGAGATAAGTCATTGCAAATGTGTTGATAGGATTGTAACCTTTCTAGCAAACCTCCTCTTAATGTAGGAGGAAGTAAACACGGGTTTTAGCAAGAGCAAACAGCGTGTAAAATATTAACCAGACTAAAACGATTTGACGGGGATTTTACTTTCCCTTCTAAACGTCCCATACAAACCTGAAGTTGAAATGCACAAAAAAAAGTTTAGACAATCAAAGCAAAGATTTAACATTTTCTCTATTTTAGTTTAATGAGGGCCAATACTAGGATTTCTTTCTTTTACTGTAGTGAAGGACAACCCCCCCACACCCCCATGGTCTCCCTCCTACCCCCATACTCCACCCACCCCACTCTGACTGGTTTTTGTAATTTACTGGGTTGGTAAGTTACACAAGTTTGTTCTTGCAGGATCTTTGTTGACAGAAAGTTTGTTAAACTGTAAGATAAAGCAAAACCTCTTAGGCATGTTGGGTGTGTCTCGGTTTGACTCCGGGAATACCTTTTCAAGAAACTATATTGTGCAAAGTTATATTCTTAAAGAGACACTGTTTGGCACTGTTGTCAATCGAGGTTTACATTTATAAAAAAAAAAACACAATTTGCAAAAGATAACTGAGGCAGATGATTTAAGAGTCTTGAATTGGAATGTCGGTTCTTGGGTTGGGGTTTTCATATTTACTGACAACAGGCCTCTCTCTCTCTCTGCTGCATCTGTTCTACACGGCTCTATATTGTTTTTTTAAGATTCTGTGTCCTGTCTTTCTAACCTGTCCTTTCAGAAAGACTACTTATAAATAAGATGACTTGACTTGGACTTGCAGTTGTTTTCCTTTTCAGAAAATAGATTATTTTCCCGAATTATGCTCCTTGTTCATGTATCATATAAAATCCAAGGTGTTTTATTTAACCTGACACATTGACATTTCCAAAATACTTTCAATAAGGGCCAGAGGGGCCAGCATTTCTGCAAACTCAACACTTAATTTTCTTCTTCACCTGAGAGCGACTAAGAAACCAGATCAAAATGTCCTTCTTTTTTTTCTTTTTTTTCCTTACTTTTTTAAATCAAAATAATCATATTACTTTTACTACATAGACAGATAAGATAATGCAAGTAGCTATTTAGAAATAACTCTTATCAGCAGTTTTTGAAATATTTGCTCACAGTGACTAAAGGCGTGCATCCATGACCCACCCTTTACTGTCTCCTGTGTTTCTCACACTCTTTCACTTTTCACACTGTTTAAACACTACCGCTTGTACTGGTGTGCAAACTTCTTCCAACCTCAAGAATGTTGAACTTCAGGTGAAAGATTTCTTGTGGGTTAAAGTATTTTTTGCCTCTCACTCCACTGTGGCTAAACATTGCCAAAAGCTTGAGTCAATAATTATTTTTAACAGATTCTTTCCATAGTAGAAAAATGGAAAAAATAAATAAATGATAAAAAAAAAGAAGAAAAAACAGTGAGATATGTACAAAGGACAGGGGAGGTTGCCATTTTTAACCGCTGAAACGTGGGCTTTTCCTTTGCTTCACACTAAATTTAAACCTTTTTCTCTCTTTTACTTGTTTTAATAGTATTTTGTGTACATGCTTGCTTTCATTTACTTATTTGCATAGCATAGCATAGTTTTCCCACTGTTGGAAAATAAAGGATATTTTATTCCATTCTATTGTACTTTGATCTGTTTCATTCAATTCTATCATATAATAAAAAAAAGACATTCTAAATTACAAAATCTACTTTTGTACCTCTTGGTGTGGTACACATATGTAGAATTATGAGTATATTATCTCCACTTACCCTTTTTTGTATTTGTTTTCAGTTGTGGCCAAAAGCTTGCACAATTCACAGTAACATAGATAATATCAAACAGTTGGCAAGAGAATATAATCTGCCTAATTTATACATTTTTCCTGAAAATACTTTTTAAGTTTTTTTTTTTTAGATATTGAAAACTTTATTGTGGTCTGTATCAATAATTTTTTATTTATCTGTTATTCTTTTAATCCATTTCATACTATTCTTAGCTTATTTAAATCTCTGAAAGGTGCGATTCAAATTGCTGCATTTGGAAAAACAATTTTTGCCCCACACATTTTCATTAAATGTAAATGTATTTAGACTAAAAAACTTCTTTGATTGTTGGTACATAAACACATCAACAGCATATACTCTTATGTGTAAAATTATTAAGATAAAGGCTTAGCTGAGTTCACACTGTACACTGAAAAAACTAATGCAGCCATTTTTGGCATTTATTTAATTATATTTAGTTATTTTAACAGAATTGTTTTATGTCCTACCTATAACATGACTAAACATAATTAAGTGAATGACAAAACAGTAGCATTAGATTTTTTAGTGTAGGATAACCATATCACTTTAGACAAAAGCCTTTCTTATGCAAAAATTTTAAGGAAATCTCTGGTTATCAGTCTGAATGTGTTTTATCTTTATTCGAGAAGCACCTGCTACAGTTTTAGCACTATATTTTAGGAATAATCGTGCATGATTGACCTTTTTTGATTTACAACAACTTTCTTTCCCTTATAATCATCAACATCACATCTGCAGCCATGCATAGTTCCACTGATATATCTCTCAGATCTCAGTAGGTCGTACAGTTAAGCATTTTCTATAGAGACAGGAGGTATGACAGGAGTTTAAAGTGGTGATCCAGCAGTGTTGCATATTCATTTCTTAGGGAACAGGTTCGTGCGCGTATTTGGGTAACTTTAATGCACAATATTCAACTTGTTTCATTGTTTTCTGATCGATTCTGCTTCAGTACACTAAACAAACAAAAAGGAAAACTGGAGAAAGGCGTGGCCAGGAATAGCCTAACCTGGTGCGTCTGTAACAATATCCCAAATTCCCCCGTTTGAAATGTCACATAAATACTTAATTAAACCAGACATGACATTCTGTTCGCTTTGGGAAGGGCGTTGCTCTATAAAACCATTTAGCTGAACAAGGTGACTAGACAAACCTTTCCCACACTCGTCGTGCTGTTTCGTAAACTCAGCAAGGTGTGGTTTCAGTCCAAAAAGCAGCTTATTTCCGTCTATTCACAGAGCGGCATTATCTGCGCAACAGGGCAGGAGACGGGGCGGAGAAAAGCGCGCAGTGGGTCCGCTGTCCGGACAGCAAGAGCAGAAACAATAAGGAAAAGAAGCAACAACAACAAATATATACAGATATATATATATTAAAGCAGGGAAAAAAGCAACAACAACTCGGGACAAAATGAGTCATTATGGCTCTGACCCTAGACTGGCCTCTATGGGGCCGAGGAATAACTCCCGCACCGACTTGAATTCTTACAGAAACGACGTGTTCATGACTGGAAACGGCTACCAGGCAGAGTTCCAGCAAATGGAGCCAGGATACTCCTACCAGACCCACACCAAGTCTTCCATGTACGGCGGAGGCGGTGGCACCATAAAGGTGGCCCAAGGGACCCTCGGACCTGGTGCAGTAAGGTAAGGGCCCCACACACAATATCCTGTTATAGGACGCTTGGTAATAAAGTTCCTAACTTCTTCACACATTTTACCTTAAAGAGGCTGTGATGCAAAACGTCTAAAACTAGTTTTAGTACAAATAGGTTCAATGAATTCTAATAAAATTATAATATCCATGTTTGGATAATTATGTCCATTTTATTTGCAGTTGTTTCTGTAAGTAAACACACATAAAGGTGTAATTTTATTGCATTTTCTTAAAATGTTGCACAATCAGAAAACAAAAGTAATAGTTAAACACACCCACTTTGAATGTCTTCCCAACGCCGTCACTAACAATGATGTCAGCTTATGTGAAAGCTTTTTTATTTTTATTAACTGATTTAATTATTGATTTTTCTTTAAATATAGGCACAATAAAAACCTTATTTAGGCTGCAATATATAAACATATACATAAAACCATGCAATGGTCTTTATCTATGCAAGTGTGTCAACTTATTTTACTTATCTTTTTTTTTTTTTTACTTTGACCCCAATGGTTTTTGATTTGTTTGAGGCTAGATGGAGTTTAGCAACTTGTTGACTATATTTTAAGCACATTTTTAATTAATTTATTTGACTTATAGCAGTCTGTTGTCTTTCTTCCTACGTTCAGCCCGATGGTGCTTCAGCAAAAAGCTAGTATGCTGGTAGGCCAAAGTCATGAGTATTTGGAGAAGGCTAATATTATTCTGACCTCTGTAAGTATAACACATATACTCTCTACAGAACTGAAATGATGTAAAGCTCTACTTGTTAAAGCTATGTTTTTCCAAAGAGATCTAAACAGAAGATGACTGTTTAATCTAATAAATTGTTAGAATCAGAAAGATCTAGCATTTTAGGAACATCATTTTTGCAGAGAAATAGACATTGTATGATTTTCTTTTAGGGAGGTTCAATGATTGACGCAGAGAGATTCATACTAATGGCTGGAGAAAGCCTTCAAAGGCTGAATATTATTTGCAGAGATCTGATGGAGATGCGTATACCGTCTGATGCTCCAAGAGAGTAAGATCAAACACATTATCTATAGTTTTTAGATAAGATTCAAAGATTTTCTGATCTGTATCTGATAACATTTTACATATCCACAGATGTGAAATGCTGCAACATAGGTTTAACTCCATCAAACAGAAAATGGCCGGATATGGGACTATGAAGGGTAACAGAGGCAGTGTTGGCAGTGATGGTGGGAGGTTGTTCAATGACGCCATCAGCTGGATTAACCAGCAGAAGGTGAGTTCCTCAGTGTGAAAGTTTACCTTATTATTATTTTTTTTAAACATTTGTTGACAATTTCTAAAGGATGCAAAAAATAGCTTCTATTTTTTTTACTGGAAAAATCAGTTCTTATATTATAAATCCATGGTGGATAAATACAAATGCCCTTCTAGGACATGTGAATAAAAAGCCAGAAAACAAGTTTAAATAGTTTTTGTTTCTGGAGTCTAAGGCAGAGTGATAAAGTTCCCCTGTCACCTATCCAACCCTACGGTAACTGAAACCATCTCGACTCGCTGCCAAAACCTGATCCATGAATGAAAGAGGCTAAGAGATCCTGATGGGCTGAAACAAAGGAGCAGAGAGAGAAAAAAGGAGAGTTCTGTTTTACCAGAAAGCTCATAAAGATCTTTGATAAAAACAGTGCTGAAAATAAAGGAGTCATGGAAGTAGAGGAGAAAGGGGGAGTGTAGAAGTGTGATATGTTGCACTGTCCTCTGAGTCAGTTCGTAAGAACCAGGGTGACCTATTTGACCTGTAGTATGCTCATGGGAAAACGCCTCTCTGTTCTCGTACTCGTCGTTGCTCCACCTTCTCAACAACACACCCTGTCATTCTGTCACCACTTACCGCCTCACCCCTCTGAATCTAACCACACGCATTCCTCCCCTAACCAGATATCTAACATGTTTTGTTTTTTTTGATTTTTTGTTGGTTTTTTTTAGCCTGTATTCCTGTAGTTCACAGCAGACAAATAGCTTTTCAGATGCACTGTTCGTTGTTGTCGGAGGGTAACATCGCTGATATTTCACATTCCACAAGTTGTCTTTGTTGTTAAAAGTTGGGCTTGTCTTGCTTTGGGCATGTATTCACAAAGGAAAAAGGGAGTGGTTAGGGAACAAAAACCTTGAGAGGGAAGGGTGAAAAAAAAGGCAGAGAACAGAACAGGGACGGGCTAAGGTTGTTTGCTGGATGAACTCCTATCAAAGCTGAGGGCTGTGTACAAGGAGGGCATTGTTGAAATAGTTTCCTGCTTTAAATAAATGAATGATAGTTTGCTGACACCTAGAGGGTAAAAAAGGTAAAAGAAGAAGCATCAAAGTGCTAGTATTCGGTTTGACCTGCACTGATAAGTTCCCCTTTATTTGTATAAATACACATCTAAGAAACTCCAATCAGCAACACTGCAAAAAATGTAAATCTTTGTAAGGTTATTTTTTCTTAAAGTAAGTGTTTTTTGTCTTGCACTGAGGAGGTAAATGCCAATCAAACCAGACAATTTACATTTAAAATAAGAAAAAACAATTGTATTGTCTTATTTCAAGTGCATATTATCTAATTATCTTAGTTTAAGAGTAGAAATGCTCATTCCATTGGCAAATTATCTCATTTACCTACACAAATTGAGGCTAGATACACTGAATTTCAGACATTTTTACTTATTTCTTGATTGTTTTTGTAGTGAACATGTTAAAGTTATATTATCAAGACTTATTTAGTGGGATATTCTGTACAGAGAATGTTGTGTTTAAACATTTTAGGAAAATCTATTTTTAGATAAAATAAAAATTTACTTTACACTGCCGTCACTTTTATCTGATTCTTCTTCTAAGTAGAAATACTTGACAGGTTTTGATCTCAGCATTTTCCCCACACCGGAATATAATTGGTGACTTACTGTTTTAGATCTCCAATTTACTGTGTGAATAAAAATATGGTACTGTATAATAAAAAAACAAAAAAAAAACAATGTACACACAGCAGTCCACTTTGATCTTAGCCTTTCCAGAGCTAACCATTAAATTTAGCTTTCTGGAACAAATAATCTGGGTTTAGACTAAGTGAAAGTGCCAAGAGTTATCTGCTGTGCTTGATTCGTAAGGGCTAAGTACCAAAGAGGGATCAAGAGAAAGGAAAGGGGTGTTTGTGGTAGAATATAATGGAATAAGTAAAGAAAAACAGACTAACCAAAATTGGAGAAGACAATTGGGTAAAAAGTGATATCCAGAGACTACAGAAGAATCTGAATTAGGGCTGAAACAATTAATGGGATTATTCGTGATTAATCGATTATTGAAATAATGGTCAACTAATTTAGTAGTCGATTAATTGTTAACTGAACTATAGAGACTCTAAAACATGCAGTTAGCTGACAGAGCAAGCAAACCAAAATTGTAAAAAAAAAAAAATATATATATATAAATATATTTAAAAAAAATTTTAAGATTCAATAATATGAAATCCTCGATGAGAATAATGGTATTCATACAAACCTACCCCAACTCTAGGCCTACTATTCTCACGGAAATTAACTATTCTCACGGAAATTATCTCTTGTCCAAATAATTTGAGAAGGAAAAGCAAATCACTATTGACAGCATTGTTTTGTTTTGTTTTTCAATCTGATAGCGGATTATTGAGACAACACCATTTGGAGACGACTCCCACGCCATAGGAGAGCAAATTGTTGCCCACAATAGATTCCACAGCTCTATCCAAAGAAGCACAGAAGTAACACGTGCCAGAGACGAACTGGTAAGTATATTTATCTACTTTTTAACCCTGTTTTGATCACTTTACATTACTTTACATTCTTTCTGTTAATTAGGGATGGCTTCGTAAAAGAAGTAAAAAAGCCTCAGTGGCTAAAATAAGGCAATATATCACATATCAAAGCTGTAATACCATTATTTAGTCCTTTTGAAGTAAATAAGAAAGAATAAGTAAAAGTAGTTAATTATTTTTCTTACAATATTGATCATTTTACCATTATGCTTTTTTAGAGGACAGAATAGAAGCTATTATCTCAGATTAATTGGCTCAGTGTTCTCTGGTAGAGGCTTGAGGCGGCTGCTTAACAAACATGCTGCTTGTTACTTGGGATCTCAGCTCAAGTGATAAGTTATGCTCAGACTGACTGGGGTTTTCATTCTTGGTAATATAAATATTTTGATAACTAGACGTGTTTTTTTATAAGCAAGAGAAAAGAAATGTGCCTTCTTTTGGCCAGTTAGCCTTCCATGGACGTATATACAGCTAAAGTAAAACTCCCTCATCCAAGCACAATCTCTAACAGCTTATTAAAATGTTTTAAACTGGTTAAACCAAAAAAGTGTGTTACGTACGTTTCTCTGTGATGTTTGCAACTCAAACCTGAGCAAAAATTTGAACTGCTTTCCAGAAGGCAATAGGCGATAAGTACCACCTTACCATCCTGGAACAAGAAATGGACAGCCTACAGGTAGAGCATGACTGTTCTAGCAGAATTAGCATCATGTTAAGCTTTTTCTTTTTTCTTTTTTTTTTATGTCTATTAGTAAAGTTCTCATTTTTCTCTTAAAGAAAATGTCCAACAATCGCAAGAGTCAACTTACTGAACTTCAGTTCATCATTGACGAAGTCTCTCGAGCCATCATGTGGGTGAATGAAAAAGAGGAGGAGGAGCTGGTGTTTGACTGGGGAGACAAAAACATCGACAGCTATATCCCCAAGAAGCAGGAGAGCTACTCTGTAAGAATCCCTGAGTTCTTTTTTTTAAATTAGTTATAAATTGGTTTCCTGTGTTTTATAGTATTTTATTAGTTTAACTGTTTGGATTCTTTCTCCCTGTTTATCTAACAGAAGCTAATGAGGGACTTGGAGGAGAAGGAGAAGGAGTTAAACAAGCTGAAACAGAAAACATCTGGTCTCCTGAGCAATAACCATCCTGCCTCAGATAAGATTGAAGTAAGATTGACTCCTTTTTTTTTTTAGCATTTGTTTGATTCTATACTATATCTCAAAACATCTGTAATATTTTGAGTTTTGCATGAATAATTTTTTGCACCCCACAGGCCTACATGGACACCCTGCAGACACAGTGGAGCTGGCTTCTTCAGATCACAAAATGTATCCAAGTTCATCTGAAGGAGAACGCTGCTTACAGCCAAGTATGGCTTCAGATGTTTGTGTTGTTTGGATGAAAATCTTACCCCGTATATTTTCACATAAAATAACTTTTTTTGTGTGTCAATTTTCAGTTCTTTAAGGAGGCAAATGAAATCAATGCAAAGCTTCAGAAGCAACATGAGACCATCAGGACCAAATTCATATGTGACAAGAACACTAGTCTAGAGAACCTAATGGAACTTCTGAAAAATCTGGAGGTAAATATGTATTCTCTAGCATTTTGTATGCCTATTTAGCTTATTAAAAAAAGCTTTTTGATATAAAGCATTTAATATCAGCATTTGGTGTTTTGTAGGCAGTCTGAATTTATCTGATGGAGTTTCAAGCATGGTCTGATTTTCTTCTCTCAAAGTTGATGAGTAAAGAAGCCAAGTTAAAATTTCTACTTTGCATTGCAGAAAGAGAAAGATCGGATCATGGAGAATAAGAGGCATGTCCACAGTCTGGTCAGCAAGTCAAAGTCCATCGTCAGACTTAAGCCTCGAAACCCTGAGGAGAAATCCACCAGCCCCATCATGGTTGAAGCCTTGTGTGACTTTAAGCAGGACCAGGTGGGAAATTTTCGTTTTCCAGCCCCATCGCTCACATACTCAGTAACAGCAGTTAAGTATATATAGCTGTGCTCATGTTTTTTTATTTTTGTGTGTGTTTTATTTGAATATTTTCAGAAAGGTATATTGAAAGGGAACGAGGGTATTCTGAAAGACAATTCTCAGCGCTCCAAATGGCTTGTGACAGGACCTGGAGGTCTGGACATGCAGATTCCCTCAGTGTGCCTGGTTATCCCACCTCCAAATCCACTTAGCATCGGAGTTGCTTCGAAGTAAGAGTTGGTTGTTTTAAAGTTCTGTACAAAGCAGTGGTCTCCTTGGAATCTCCAATTCGTTGTGTCTTTGTCAATTAAGTAATCCAGATGTTTAACTGTTCCTAAAACCTAACACACGTCTGCCCAAGGAGCAGAAGTCAGTTGATTTATCTTACTAATTCTTCATATTCGCTCGAACCAAACTTTTGAGGCTCTCTTGCTTTGTCAGATTAAGAAGTTCTGGTATATAGTGTTGTTTATATTACGTACAATGAATGACTGTGTATATTGTTGGCAGAAATGAGCAGTATTACGAGGCCATCATGGCCCTTTGGAATCAGCTCTTCATCAACATCAAGAGTCTCATCGCCTGGCAGTACTGCCTCAAAGATGTCAACTACATTAATTCCCTCACCCTTAGCATGGTAAGACGTCACAGAGGAATCCTTAAAATGAATGAAACCTGAATTCAAATGTATTTTTAGTGTTTTTGTTTTAGCTGTATAGCTCAAATGTTTTACATTCAGTCTAACCCACCGTTTTATCTTTTAGCTGTCGAAGATGCGTCCTGAGGAGTACCGCAGCATCATCAAAAGACTGGAGACTCATTACCAGGAGTTCCTCCGAACAAGCCAGGGTTCTGATTTGTTTGGGGAAGAGGATAAGAAAACCATTCAGGGCCACTTTGACAAGGCTCAAGAGCACTATGATACACTGATCATTCAGCTAACCAACAACCGTAAGCATGCATTTTGTTTATCTTGTTTTGATAAGTTACGGAACCTTGTGGGGGGAACTTTTTTATTTTTAAAATAATAACTTAATTAACCTTGAGATCCCAACTTAAAGCACATCTGTTTGTTTTTATGTATTAATTCAGTATAAGACTGAAATCAGTTTTATTTAGTTTCTCTTTTATTAATTTATAATTCTGAACTCCTGCACTACAGACGGTGAAAAAGGGAAGCCTGAAGCCCCAAAGCCAGAAGACCAAGTCCCCACCAAACAAACAACCAAAACCACCACTGTCATCAGCCTATCATTGCTCACCAATCTGCAAGAAATACGTCGCAGGCTGGAAATAGCTGAATCCAGCATCACTGACCATCTCCATGTTCCTCTGGGGGAAAACGGTGTGCACCAGTGCTCAGTGCACATTCAGAATCTTGAGGTATTCTACTTTTTTTTATTTAAATCACATTTATAGGACTGACCAAAGAATGTTTGAAAGAGTTTTAAATACAAATATAAATACATATTGATTTATGTTGATTTCCAGGGTGCACACCAAGATCTAGAGTCAATTTACAATGAGTATATGCACCTAAGAGAAATGATTACAAAGCAGCTAAAGGGGGTTCCTGCAGACTCAGAGCAGGCCAAGTTCCTCCGCTCAGAACTGGAAATAATCAACCAAAAATTGGGCGGCTTACAGCATCTCTACTCAATCTACATTCAGAGGTGTGTGTTCTTGTTTTATCATGCGAAAATGAAAACAATTATAATCTGAAACTAAAATTTGGTTAATCTCTTTACCTGCTGATTTAATGTACAGATTGACTGCACTAAAGGCTTTACTCCAAAGCCTTCTCCAAGCTGAGGATATTATTAAAGTTCATGAGGCCAGACTGACAGAGAAGGAGACCAGTTCCACAGACCCTCAAGAACTGGAAAACCACCGGAGTGCTCTAAGGGTATGAAATGGCTTTTTCAAGAAATTGTTATTCTCATGAATTAGATTATTTTTTTAAATTATGTATATATATATATATATATATATATATATATATATATATATATATATATATATATATATATATATATATATATATATGAATTTCTTTAGACATATAGGATTTAGTTTTCTAAAAATGACAATAAATTCTTGCTTTTCATCATTAGTATAACAATTTCATCTCTTAACCTTAAAGGTAAATTGTCATATATTAAAAGCAGTATACTATTTTTACCCCTCTTACTACCTAATAATGGTTTGGGACTTTTTTTAAATCATTAGTTATTAAATTAGCTAATATTACATTGAAGTCTGAATATAATAATATCAATTGTTAACAGTAAAAGTAAAATCATAATAAATTAAAACTGATAAAGGTTTAAATTTAAGTTTGCCAATTATAAGTTCAAAAGCTTATTGCCAATTACCACAAAAAATACAAACATTTTTATTTTCTGTTTAAGTTGTAAAATCTACGAAGCACAAATGCACTTATTGTGTGAATCTTCGTTATAGAACATGAAGCTCGAACTTGAACAGAGACGGGACCTGCTGACTTCCATGGAGTCCAACATGGCTGAAGCAGTGCACTGTAACACGCAGATTTCCGAGTCTTTCCACAGATGTGATGTGGATTTGTCCAAGTACTCTGAACTGGTAGGCCAGCTGAGCGACCGCTGGCGCCGCATTCAAAACCAGATCGATAGCAGGTATTGTAAGGTACAGTGCTTACATTTATGTAATGTTACTGCTGGTAAAGCACTAAAGAATCTCTTCCTCTTCCTGCTTCAGAATGCTGGACCTGGACAAACAAAAGGAGCAGTTAACACAATATCAGCAGGACAGAAATTCCATGGAGCATTGGATAGACAATACCAGGAAACGCCAGGACACCCTTCAAACGGCCAAGTTCACTGATATCCAGATGTTGAATGACTATCTTAACCAACAAAAGGCATGCGTTTCCATATTTTCACAAATTTGTTTTTATCATTACAAACTTTAAAAGGAAATGTTTCCTGTTTTTGTTTTTTGGGTTAAAAAAAGCTTAGGTGAAAGGAGGTATTTTAGGCTATTTAGCTGTAATTCCGTCTGATTATTTGATTTGATAAGGCAATATACTATTTTTTGTGCTCTTAATTTGTATTTCCTACTGACTAAATCAAGATAGCCACAGCCTACAGCTATATTCTCAGTTATTGCACACTCAGTAAGAAAAGGTGCTTTTGTCCACAGCTATTCTTACTCATACTTAATTTTAATGACAAATAGTAAGGTTTATTTCAATTCAATCCAGTTTATTTATATAGGGGCAATTCACAACACATTCATCTCAAGGCACTTTACAATTCAACCAATTTGTATAACTACAGTACAACTAGTACAACCTTCTGTTGAGTTTAAAATGCCAATAGAAGGAGAAATAAATCACAGATCCATCTTGACTGAGGTATAAACAGGTCAAGGACTTTTGAATATGTTGATTCTGTCAAGCATTAGTGATCATTTGTGTACAAAGCTTTAGATCAGTATGCTCATTTTAATCTAGAGCATTTAAAATATACTTTTTTATGTAACAGGGGTCTACAATCTGTAGCTGCAAATGTTTTTTTTAGAATGCAATGGTTCTTAATAGTGGCCTAAAATGAAAAGCAACAACTAATGTTGTAGAATGAGGCATACCTGTCTTAGAAATTTGATTGGGTTTTGATTGAATTTTCACAACAGAATGACATTGAAATGAATTTTTTATTGTTAGGTTGGACGTTATGTGGAATTTCTTTGTACAATGAATAATATCCTACAGAAAAAAATTCATCCTAATGAAACTTTTCACAATTTTCCTTGTTAAAAGCTGAAATACAACAGACTCTTAGTTGTTTATAAATGGAATAAATAATTAAAGGAATAATAAAATAATAATAACTTTTGTTTTAGTTATAAGGTCCTAATCAATTTACAAAGCTTCAATATTTGCGGATCTTAACAACTTTTAATCAGCCAGGCTTGGGGCAAAACAGATCTTTGGGTTTTAAAGTTTGCAGAACCCTGGTATAGAATATAAAGTCTAAAGAATTCTTTAAAAAAATCACAAACCTCCACATCTAATGAAGAAAGATATGTATTAAAAATCTGGGAAATTATATGGAATGTTTTTAATTTTTGTTGTTCTTTTTAACTAGGCTCTTCATAATGAGATCAAAGCCAAGAAGGAGAAAGTTGAGGATGTTCAGAGAAATGCTGACAATTGTGCTACTTCCATAAAGGTAATCCATTAGCTCCATCTCAAAATGTATCTAGATGAAAAAGTCCTTAACAAGTATGATGTATATAACATTTCCTTTGGTGTTTTCAGGATTATGAGCTGCAGCTTGCTTCTTACAGTTCAGGTCTGGAAACTTTGCTTAATGTCCCAATCAAGAGAACATTGCTCCAGTCTCCAGCCTCTTATGTCAGAAAAGAGGTAATCATCAACATCTTTAAAATAATCATATGCTATTTTTTTCCTATTTATTCTGTGATGATTTTTAATAATATAGATAACTGTCGCTATGTTTTAAAGACCTTGTGTACTAAATCAAGTCTGTTCCCAAACGAAAAATCAAGTTATTAAGAAATTTGTGAAAATGAGTATTGTTCTGCACTGAACAGTAGTAATTTTAATCTAATCACCATCCCCAGGCTGGTGAACTTCAGGAACATTACATCGAGCTGCTTACCCGCTCCAGCGATTATTACAAGTTCCTGGGTGACTTGCTGAAAAACATGGAAGAGCTGAAGGTTAGCATCTGATTCACTTAAGTTAATGTAACTGTAACTGATCAAATATGTTTGAAAACATCTCACTGTGTTCTTACTGCTTAATGTGTTCTCAGTTAAGAAACACCCGGATTGAGATGTTAGAGGAGGACCTGAGGCGTCTCCAGGATGAACTGCAAGATCAAAAACAAAAAAATAGGTCTCTTGAGGATACCTTGGCCAACTACAAGCTGGAACTCAGTCAGTGTAAAAATGAACTCATATCAGTGCAAGAAGTGAAGAGAACTACAGTAATGCAAGTCAATGCTGCTAAAGAGAGCCTTGATAGCACACAGGGCCAGATTCAACATCTTAACGAGGAACTGACCCGTCTTAAATATCAGCTTGAAGAGGAAAAGAGGAAAAGACGGCTTGCGGAAGAGCGCTACTCAAGCCAGCAGGAGGAGTATGAGGCAGCAGTCCGTCGCAGGCAGAAAGAACTGGAGGAGGTTAGCTGGATAAAGATAGATCTAGAGAAGTCGGTGAAGGACAAAGAACGTGAAATTGAAAGACTGAAGATGCAGCTAGAGGAGGAAGCTACACGCCGGCGAAATGCAGAGTCAGATATATCAAAGGTAAGAACACAGTGCACCCAGGAGATAAGTCAGCTCAAACAGACATATGAGACACAGATCCACATCACCAAGACCACCATTCAGAAAGTGTCCCAGCAGAGGGATGAAGATGCAGCAGAGTTAAGGCTGCAAGTAGACCGGCTTACTGCCGAGAAAAGAGATCTGGAAGAAGAGCTCAGAAGACAGAGACAATCCATTGCCCTTATAGAAATGCAGAAGAGCAAGGCAGAACAGGAGGCCAGCCAGCAGATGGCCTCAGTGACTCAAGAGACGAGGATTCGTACCGAGCTGGAACAGCAGTTGAGAACTATCAAACAGCAGAGAGAAGAAGATGAGCTGCAATTGAAGGAATCCAAAAAAGAAAATCAGGAAAAGTCCAGGAAAATCAGTGTGCTAACATTTAACCTGGAGGAAGAGGGCAAAAAGAGAAGAGCTCTGGAACTGGAAATCAATCACCTGAAGCAAGCCGAGGCAGAACTGAGGTCAAAGAGCAACTCTTACCTTGAGACAATTAACAAGCTCAAAGTGACTGAACAGGAGATCCACATCACCAGAGTGGAGCTTGAAAAGCAGACCAGTGAGAAAGCCAAGGCTGAACAGAGTACTGCTAGGCTCCAGAGCCGTATCAGGGAACTGCAGTGTTCTCTGGATGAGATGGAAGCTGAGATGGAAAAGCAAAAAAAGGCAACACAAGAGGAATTTACCCGTAGAAAGCGGATGGAATCAGAGTTGGAGAGGATGACACGAACGTGCAGAGAGCATACCACCACAATTAACTCGCTGAAATCAGTTCAGATAGAGGTCACAAACACTGGGAGGAAGTATGAGCAGGATATGAAGGCTCTCCAGGAGCAACTGGACAAGAGCCTAAGGGATCATAAAGCCACTAAGGAAGAACTGGCAGCTGTGACAAATGAGCTCAAAACACTGAAACAAAAACTCCAGCAAGAGCAGGTGCGAGTTCATGAGCTCAACCAGCGCAATGAAAGCCTGTATAAGACAATCGAAGAGAAGAGTCGCCAGCTCAATGACTTCAACACTGAGATAGAAAAGCTGAAAACTCTTACACAGAACCTGACCAAAGAGAGACTGAGGGTGGAGGAAGAGCTGAGGGCAGTACGACAGGAGAGAGATGAACTGAAAAATAGCAAAGATGCTATCGATGCAGAAAGTGCCACTCAGATATCAGCCTTGCATGTCCAGCTTCAGACTAGCTCCAAGAGGACATCAGAGCTCCAGTTTCTCATCAGTGACCTGACCAAGGAGAGAGAAAAGCTTAAAATGGAAATAGAAAAATTCCAAAAGCAGTCAATTGAGGTATTTTCAACCACATTGAAGGATCATATACTCATAAAACTAATTGATTACTTTTCTGCTTGCATGTTTTGCTCTCATGTTATGCTCTGTGATTGATTCTGATTTTGTGGTACTTTGATGCTGTGTATAACTATTATAAGTGAGTTAGTGTCTTTTTAATTGAGCACAATTTTTCCTTACTCACAAATCTTTCTTCATGTATGGTTGGATGTGTGTTTTATTTCAATACATTCACAGATATTTAAACATAACTTGAACTGTCTAGTAACATGTAAAAATAATGTGCAACATATTCTTATATATATATGTATGTATGTATGTGTATATACAAATTATTTACATTATAATGCTCTCTTTTCTTATTTTTTCACAGACCTCCCAGTTGGTGCATGTGTCCGAAAGTAAATACAGTGAGCTACAGCTGGAGAGAGATAGCTTGCTCTCCAGACTTAAACTTCTGGAACAGGACAAGAACCGTAACCAGAGATTAGAAGAAGAGCTTGCTCGACTCAAACTCTCTCTAGAAACAGAGATACGCAGCAAACAGCGTTTGCAGGATGAAAAAAATTCTGTTCTTAAAGAATTCACCACTATAAAAACCCAATACGAGTTTAAAGAAACCCAGATTAGACAATGCGAGTCAGACAGAGACAAGGCTGACAGAGAGAGGCTGTCCCTTAAGAATGAAATTGAGAGGTTGATGAGGGAGCTGAATACTGTGGAGGAGAGGTACAAGAGTCGTCTCATGATCTCAGAAAAGGAGGCATCTGAATTGGCTCAAAAGAGACAAGAGTTGGAGAGAGAGATTCTCAGACTCAAACAGAGACCAGCTACGCTTAACATTCATACCCAAACAGATGAGAAGGTCATGACGATTGATCCATCAAAGCTTGTATTTGACGGGGTACGCCGCAAAGTCACAGCCCACCAGCTCTGTGACTGTGGTATTATCAGTAAAGCGACCCTGGAGCTGCTTCTAAATGGTAAAAAGACAGTGGAGGAAGTAGCTGTGGACATCCAGCTTAGTCTAAAGGGCACTGGCATTATTGCTGGGATGGTGACAGGTTCACATGGGAAAATGCCATTCACTGAAGCCAAACACAGGAATCTCATTGGCCCAGAGAGTGCTCTCATGCTCTTGGAAGCTCAAGCAGCAACAGGCTACATCGTGGACCCTGCCTTTAATGAAAGGATGCCTGTAGATACTGCCTGTTCAAGAGGGATTGTAGATACAGAAGATAGAGATATTTTGTTAAAAGCTGAAGCCGCTAGCATAGGGTTTAAAGATCCGTATACCGGCAAGGTGCTGTCTGTGGGACAGGCCTGTAAGAAGGGTCACGTTGACAAAGAAACTGCAATCCGGTTGCTCCAGGCTCAGGAGTCTGTTGGGGGCATAATAGACCCTGTTCTAAGTGTGTTCCTTCCAAAAGATCTTGCCTTGGATCGGAATCTTATAGACGAGGATCTATACAGGGCTTTGAATAAAAGGCCTACTGCCTACCTGGACCCAGCAAATGAAGAGAAGGTCACATATAGTGACCTTAGAAGGAAGTGTACGGCTGAACCGGTGTCTGGTTTGCTCCTGCTTCGTGGTCCAGAGAAGCCCATGACAGTGAAGGGTTTCCGTGGTGATGTCTCTATCGATGAACTAGTTAAATCTGAGCTGCTGGATAAAACTGATGTGGAAAAGCTCAATCAGGGTAAAATCACCACAAAAGACATAGAAGACAAGTTAAAGTCCTATCTCTATGGCTCCACCTGTATTGCAGGTATCTATGATGAGGCCAATGACAGGATAATGCCTTTGTATCAGGCAATGAAGGAAGGATTGTTAATGAGAGGAACCACTTTAGAGCTTCTGGAAGCTCAAGCTGCATCAGGCTTCGTTGTAGATCCAGTTAACAATGTTTTCCTAACTGTAGAAGAAGCTACAAAAAGAGGCATTGTAGGGAAGGAGTTCAAGAATAAGCTCCTGTCGGCAGAGAAGGCAGTAACTGGATACAGAGATCCAGGTACAGGAAAGACAATCTCCCTCTTCCAGGCTATTGAGAAAGATATTATTGAGAGAGGTCATGGAATCCGGCTGCTGGAGGCCCAAATTGCAAGCGGTGGAATTATTGACCCAGTTGAGAGCCACCGTATTGATGTCTCTGTTGCCTATAAAAGAGGATATTTTGATGAGGAAATGAATGAGATTTTAACTTATGAAGGGGATGACACAAAAGGATTTTTTGACCCTAATACCAAGGAGAACTTGACCTATCTTCAACTAAAGGAGAGATGCATCAAAGATGCAAAAACAGGCCTAATACTCCTGCCCCTCAAAGACAAGAAAAAGGCTCAGCAAACTCAGGAAAGTCGCACCAATGTGCTACGCAAAAGGCGTGTTGTAATTGTTGATCCAGACACAGGGCTTGAGATGTCAGTCAGGGAGGCCTATCACAAGGAGCTAATTGACTATGAAACATTCCTGGACCTTTCTGAGCAGGAATGTGAGTGGGAGGAAATCACTATCACTGGATCAGATGGGACTGCACGTTTGGTCATTGTGGACCGAAAAACTGGAACCCAGTATGACGTTCAGGACTGCATAGACCGTGCTCTCATTGACCAAAAGATGTTGGATCAGTACCGTGCTGGAACAGTAACTTTGACTGAGTTAGCTGACAAAATTGCTAGCAGGACCAGCAGCACTGAAATGACTATTTCAACCAGTAGTGTTGATGACATGGTCACATGCAGCAGCCCCACCCAAGCCACTCCATCTTCCCCTACTGTTCGTAAACGCTTCAACAGCATCTCAATTACAGTCTCTCCCCCAGGAATGTTTGATGACCAAAGCCCTGTAGCAGCCATATTTGACACAGAGACTTTAGAGAAAATAACTATTCTTGAAGCTCTCAAAAGAGGTATTGTTGACACTATTACTGCACAAAGGTTGCTGGAGGCTCAGGCCTGCACAGGTGGCATCATCAACCCTGCAACTGGTGACCGTCTTTCACTTGACGATGCAGTCCATCAGAGCATCCTAGATGAAAACATGGCCTCTAAACTGAAAGCAGCCCAAAAAGCCTATGTTGGTTTTGAGGATTTGAAAACCAAACGGAAGCTTTCTGTAGCTGAGGCAGTAAAGGAGACCTGGCTTCCTTATGAGGCAGGCCAGAGGTTTATGGAGTTTCAGTATTTGACAGGAGGCCTAATAGAACCTCACAAAGGGCGTCGCATCAGCATTGAAGAGGCCATCCGGAAAGGCTGGCTAGATGGTAAAGGGGCACAGAAGCTGCAGGAATCCCGGAACCTACCAAAGAATTTGACCTGTCCTAAGACTAAGCTGAAGATCTCCTACAAAGAAGCCATGGATAACTGCATGGTGGAGGAAGGCAATGGAATGAAGATGCTGCAGGCCTCGTCTATCTCCAGCAAAGGAATAAGCAGCCCCTATAATGTCTCCAACCCTGGATCTCGCTCTGGTTCCAGGGCTGGTTCGAGGAGTGGATCTCGTAGGGGCAGTGTTGACTATACCTCAAGTTACTCCTACAGTTTCTCCTCAAACAGTACCACTTATTAAACACTCACGCTTAATGCAAACCAAATTATTGAGCTGTTTTCCAATTTTACTGTTTTCTTATTATGTTTTATGTTTAAACATAGCTGGGTTTATTGTTCAATGTTAATCAGTCTAGATTTATATAAGATTTGCTTGTTTTCAATTTCTTTATGGTAGGGTAGTTTGTAGTTGTGATATAAGCTGACATCTTTGTAGTAACATGTTTTTAACTTGCTACAAATAATTTTTACATACCATCTATGTTAAAATTATAAATTTAGCCTTGGTTTTTTTTTCTGTTCAAACTAACTTCACGCACCCAGTATAGCTGTAATCAATCATTTTCTACTCCTTTTTTTGTGTACTTTGTTGTAGCTTAATTCATATATATTTTGCAAATAATGTTTTTTTGTTTACTGCAAATGCTTATGTTTTGTTCAAATAAAAAAAAAAAAAAGTAAAATACTATTAACACTTGCAATCCAAATTAAGTAGTTGCAGAAAGTTCTACTAAATATGTACTAGTCTGGTGGCATGAGTGATGTGCTTATAAAAGAGGTGACTATGAGAAGAACAGTAATTTTGACAAAAAGTATTTTATTTTCTTTGTATTTTTGTTGTTTTTTACTAAACTTAGCCTCATTATTTGATTTTTTTTTAGCAACATTTATAAAGCTTTATTAATACACATTATTGTCTGTTTTTGTGGTCGGCAACTACTGATGTTTTCTTTGAATATTTGGAAAATAAAACGACTTACTTTAAATATTGTCTGTATGATTTGTCATAAATTCAAATAAAACTGGTTCAAAAAGTTCTCACGCATGTCTTAGCATCAATTTACAATTTACATATAAAGTAAATCTTTCCAGAAGAAATTATTAAGGCAAAAAATTTGTTACACCATGCCTATCCAAGGTAATTCTTTGCTTAACAATGAACTAAACACAGGTAAAAGAAAGTTACAAAACATTAAACATACAAAAATAGTAATTTTCCCAGATAAATATATTTATACAAGGTATTGCGATTCTATTATCTCTGGGAGTACTTTGCAGTGTTCTAAAAAAAAAAAAAGCTACAATAACTTAATGAGGGACTGTGTCCTTTTGGCTTGCTCACAGTATTGTTAGTTCTCATATTGAATAACCTTCCTGTCCTAAAAGGTTTATATTATGAAAGCATAAGTTTAAAAATCTGGTTCCCCTGCCTGAATTACTTTTATTTTAGTGTACGTTATTTTATGGACTATATTTAAAAATGTAAATGTAAAGTAAACCCCTTTAAGGTCCCACAATGGGGAAAGTCACGCTCTGCATTCTAACCCATCCCCTTGGGGAGCAGTGGCCTGCCATTGTGCAGCACCCGGGGAGCAGTGTGGGGTTGAGGGTTTGGAGATTGAAACGGGTACTTGCACCCCTCTCAGAGCACAAGCGCACTACGCTAACCACTAGGCCCACACTCCCAATACCACAATATTAATATTTTTATTGGCCCATCGTGTTTTACAATTTAATTCTTTGGGGTTTTTTTTGTTTTGTTTTTTTTTACAATTTTTCATTTAACAGTTTTTTTTTCTTTTAGTTGAATTATTTGTTAGATTAACTTTTTACTTCAGATTTTTGTGAACTTTTGAAAAGACCCACCCTCTCCATTAAAAAAAAAAAAAAGCACATGCACAACTCTGTACCCGCTCCGGAGAGGGAACACCTATTAAACGTGTGTGAGCCCAGTTCTCCATGTGCACTCTCTGTTTTAAAGTTGCTGTTTGCATCCCTCATAAAAGAGTACTTCCCAAAGGTAGATTTGCATTTTTTCCACTATGTCAGACTCACCACCGGTAAGTGAAAATAGGGACGAGCTTGTAGCCTTACATCAACATATCACCAGAATGGTTGACAATTAGGAGGACTGCTTATTTTGATGATCCACCCGGATAAAGAACATCCTCCACTCTCCATTTAAGTAAACCTTTGTTAAAGTAGTTTTGCTTTTGTAAGGTTCAATTCAATTCAGTTTATTTACATAGCGGCAAATTCACAACACGTCATCCTAAGGCACTTTACAGTTCAACCAGATCATACAGTCAAATTTATCAAAGGTTTCTGTCTAAGGAAAACCAGTTGATTGCATTGACTCATTGACTCAAATACAATCCCTCACACTAAGCATGCTTGTAGCGACAGTGGAAAGGAAAAACTCCCTTTTAACAGGAAGAAACCTCCAGCAGAACCAGGCTCAGTGTGAGCAGCCATCTGCTGAGGCCGACTGGGGTTCAAGGAGACAGAAGCAGAGACACAAAAAGCAGCTGCAAAAGGCGGCCCGTCCAGGAAACACACAGCCAGGCAGACGAGCTCCGAGCCAGCTCCCATGCCAGAGGACGAAGAGAGCACATCCAGCCAGTCACGGTGAGAGAAACAGGACCACACTGGAAAACAGGCCGATCTCCAGCATCAATAAACAAAGGTGTTGATGGAAGCAGCACAGCTGATGTTTCTCTCCAGGATGGCGTCACAGCCAAACAGGAACAGACGAGGCAAAGCTACTCTGAGGAAAAGCAGAGAGAGCAGAACGTTAGAGATTGAACTAACAGATTCTGCAGAATAGGAGAATAGAGAGAGAATGAAGCAGAATGATGAAATGGGGGTCCCTATGTTCTCCAAAATTCTAAACCTATAGCTGCATAACTATAGAGATAGCTCAGGATAACCTGAGCCACTCTAACTATAAAAAGTTTAAAGCCTTAAAAGTAGACAGGGTGTCTGCCTTACGGACTAAAACTGGAAGTTGGTTCCACAGGAGAGGAGCCTGATAACTAAAAGATCTGCCTCCCATTCTATTTTTAGAAATTCTAGGAACCACTAGTAAACCTGCTGATTGAGAGCAAAGTGCTCTGTTAGGAACATAAGGAACAATCATATCTCTGATATCAGATTGAGCTTTGCCATTTAAGGCTTTATATGTGAGAAGGAGGATTTTAAATTCTATTCTGGATTTAACAGGAAGCCAATGAAGAGAAGCCAGGATAGGAGAGATATGATCTCTCATTTTCATTTTCATCAGAACTCTGGCTGCAGCATTTTGGATCAGCTGAAGGCTTTTAACTACAGTTTGTGGACTTCCTGATAATAAAGAATTATGATAGTCCAGCCTTGAAGTAACAAATGCATGGACTAGTTTCTCAGCATCACCCCTGGACAGGATATTTCTAATTTGGACAGGATATTTCTAATTTTTGCAATATTCCTCAGATGAAAGAAGGAAATTCTAGAAACCTCTTTGATATGGGATTTAAATGAGGTTCTGACAACTAACTAAATGTAACAATGTAGATCGAGAGTTGGATGAAGTTAAGACACTAATCAAATTAAAATAATGATGGTCACAACTAGATAGGCTAATTCTGTTAGTTGCAAATAGCATTTTTTGGTTTGTCTCTGATTTTAGGTGGAAACAAATCATTCTGTGCTTCCATTTATGCTGTTTTGCAAAAAGAAATGCCAAATTTGTTTTGTTAACCATGGTCGGTTGTTTCCTTTTGTGATCATACAAAATTTGACTTATTTAAATAAAGACACACTTTACATTATAATGTTTACCAAGCCTAAAAACTAAAAGTACTGTTTATATTGTTATGTTTGCCACTTTTGCTTCCATAAGGCCAGTGTTATATAAAAACATGATTAAATGTTAAATTCAGGCATTGTGTTCAGGGATAAAATTGTACCATTAATTGTCACTGTGTCATAAAAAAACTGTCATTTGTTCTTTGTTGTATTTTATTTGTAGAAACAACTTTAATATAGTGTTGTTTCCATTACCAGCCACTGTCATTTAAAAAGTATTTTCATATGTCCTATATTTGCTTTTGATATTTTGCAGCATCAAGTGTGCACAAATGAGGGCCAGTGTACTGCAATTCTTAGATATGGTCAACATGTCAGAATAACATAATTAGTTAATAACTGCATGTATACATGAAAAGGTCAATCCTCATTTGATTCAGCTACATGGGACTTGGGACAAATAAAAAACCTCCAAGATCAAGGAGCAATTTTTCTATTCCTGATAGTGTCTCATGTTAATTAGACATTTGCATTTTGACAAAAAAAAAAAAAAAAAGATTGTTTCAGATCATTTCAGTTACTCTTGTTGTGTAAAGTGTTTTCTACTTTGCTTAAAACATAAACATGGAAATATGTTAATGGCTCTTTTACTTAAAATAAAAAATTTATATTGTTTTGCATGTATGAAGCATTTTAGATGAGAAACTATCTTATAATGTGATGTACCATAACTAGTAAAGGTTAAACACCAGGGGCGTAGCGAGAACATTTTTTATAAGGGTGGCCAGGCAATAAGCAATGTACACTGAGGGGTGGCCGAAAGTAGATAGGCACCAAAACCTCTCGGTCAATCTACACTTTTCCAACAGGAAAATTAACAAGCAAAACATCCTTATTTTCTAAATAAGGACAAACTATACTTTCATACTGCCTTTGCTAACAAATAGGCGAATATATTCAAACATCTGTGGTTTCTAGATAAAAGGTATAGTGGATCAAATTCTTTTAGGTTTGAGTTTTATTTAGCTGCTTTTATCAGTAATTACTCTGCATAAAATTTAAATTGATAAGTACTAATGTCTACACAAAGTTTTTTTTTTTAAATCGATATGTATCTATGATTTTACTGAAAACTAAATGACTTGCAGAGACACATCATTTTCTCTTTACCCCATTAAACACAAAATCTATTTCTGCTTGGATTCTGTACTTATCTTCTTTAATGTTAGTATATTGATGTGTATTATTAACCAAAGTGTTTTTGCTGTCAAGTAACTGTTAGTATATGAAAAAATTTAAAGTTTTGAATATTCCACTTGAGAGTATTATTGTTGCCACTATCTGTATTAGAGAGAAATAAATGGTAGGGGTGGCCAAGGATTGGCTAAGGGTGGCCATGGCCCCCCATCTAGCTCCGCCCCTGTTAAACCAACGACCAAAGTTTAGTTTCTTCTGTGGGGGATGGCTGTTAGAGAAGGGATGGTGAGAACAAATGGAGGGAGGCAGAGGGAGGAGGCCTCAGAGAGGGGAGGTAAAGGAAAAAGGGGGCGGGATTAAGAGGAAAAAAGTCTCCACAGCGCGGTGGGAAAACTATCCTTTGCTAGAACTTGTGGTGGGTTTAACATATCACTGTCTGTGCTGGAGGAGTTGAACTCTACGGAATATTTAGGAGCCGAACAAATACTTACATTTTTCACCTTGAAGAAAAGGAAAAAAGCAGAGGAGAGCTAGAGGATTGTTATGAGAAAATAAAGGCCCCTGGGATCACATTCCAGCAGAGCATAATGAAGCTCTCAGTGCGCTCTGCGCCTGTATGACGGGCGGAGCGCCGTTTGGATCTCAGCGCACTCATTCTCTGTCAGCACCTTTGACTGACTCAACTATATAGACCAGACTTCAAGCTTCTCCTCAAACGGTAAGCCACGTTTTCTGCGTTTTCTTCTTTTTTCATGGCTCAGGGGGTGATTTAAAGTCTGGTCAGTAATTAACTTGAGATTTTCTGACTCTTTTAATGGTTTATTGCTAACTTTTTGGGATAGTTTGTAACATTTTCTCGATTACATTGGACAAACTTTGGTATATCCCTTTAACCAGTGAGCAGAAATCATGGCACAATTTGCAACTCTTATTATGGACATCACCTGAAATATGTTTAAGTGGGTTTAAAAGTCAGATAAATTACTGTAGCTAATTAGAAAGAGAACTTGTTGGGATTTGTTTTATATAATTTTCTACTTAATATGAAAAGGTCCCATTAAGAGTATTTAATAAAATTCCTTTCAGCCTGGCTGGACCCTCATTTATTGAGGTGAATTAACTGTAATTCGAGGTTTCTTGATGTCTTTGGGTTCTGGTTCACTAAGTATCCTTTTTTTTATATATATATATATACCTATAATGTAAAACATATGGGATCGTGCTTGAGAACGACTTGCCCCCTCAAGTTTGTAAATATGGCTCACAGAAACAAAAGGCATTACATTCCCTTTGTTGTTTGGAGTTCTCCCACTGGATAGATCATGGAGGAAAACACATTTTCTTTCTTCTTTTCTTTTTTTTTGCTCAAGCTACAGCTGCTTTGCGGTATTCGTGTCCTGAGGGCTATGCTTCTTGGTTCAGCCATTGTTGATGACTTGTACAAGTGTGCTTACATCACAGCAGCTACAGCCTCCATCACCTGGATATCAGACGCGCACCTGCATCCACACCCTTATGCGCACCTTTCTTCTAAGCACCACAAACCGTTTGTTGTTCTTTACATTTCCTAAACAAAACTCTTTTAGGATTTCCCTTTGCTTAAAAAGTATTTTATTTAAATTTAAATTACAGTTTGAGCGTTTGTTTTAAACCTTAAGCTTATGTTTGAAAATACTGTGTTTATGTCCATTAACAAACAAACACTGAGAAAAACAACAACAACACAACTGGGTGGTGAAACTTTTTCCAAAAATAAAATGTTTTAAAAAAGAACAATAAAAGAAAAATCCAAACAAATTCTACTATTGTTTCTATTTGAGTCAATGACATCAGAACAGACACTGGAAATGAGTTAGTAAACACTATATTTTAATTTTTACCTTGTCAAACTAAGGAAATTGGTGTTCATTTTACTTCAAGCTATCTTCAACTCACTTTACATCAATGAAATAAAAAATACAGCTAGTACAGTTGCTAATTTTCTCTTGGTTCTGTGTTTTTTTTTGTTGGATGAGGGGGGGAACTAGGGGCCTATTGTAGGGCTGAAACAATTAATTGTAATAATCTGGATCAATCAAATTTTGAAATAATCACCAACTAATTTAGTGCTTGATTAATTGTTAGTTGGAGTATAGAGACTCTTAAAAGTGCCTTTAGCTGACAGAGCGACCTACCTTGAGGAGCAATTTTACCAAAATTGTAAAAAAAAAAAAAAAATATGTGAACATTTTGCATTTAGGATAAAAAATAACTTTTTCATCGGTCAATATGCTCTATCCAGAACTCCTAAAGTGGGAAAGGTTTAGTTTCACCTGGTTTCATTTTGCAAAAAGTCTTCTTTTCGAAAAATAATAGTTTATTATGCTTAGCTATAATACATGGTTTGTATTTTCAGTTTAATGAGATAATTTCTTTATTATTTGTGTATTATCCCATGTTCGGTTGCAAACTTTATTGGTATGAAAAATGTACTGATATATATAAAGGACGTACTTTGTGTTGTGACAGATATTTTAGAAAGTGTATGTTGGGCAAAATGTAAATTTTTTTTTTGATTTTTATTTTGTTAGGGGCTGAAAAAAAAATCATCATAAGGGCAGAAAATGGTTTTCTTCAGATACGCTTGCCTGTAATAAATGACGATATAGTTTCACTGCATGCAGTCAAAGCTCATTCTAAACTGGTTTACCCTTTATGTTTAAATTATAAAATTACTCACATTGGGTTTTTGTTTATGGTTTGCTTCTTGCCTCTGGTGTTTACCCCGAATGAGGCCATAATGAACATATTTATATTGCAAATTTTAAAATCAAACAAGGTTGAGCATTGCTCTGTCATTCTAATTAATGCAAATATTAAAGCGGTAACACAGAGTTTTCTGCTGATATTCATGGTGGGGCTAACTAGGTGCTATCTTGTAATGTTTAGTGTAACTTTGCTTTAAATTGTTGAAAGGCCTTTCCTTATGAAATTCGGCTGTTCTTGTTTTTCCAAGTCAAACTGGTTGTTAAATGGGTGATACATTTTTTTTTCCTGATCTATGTATATCTTTGGTTTGTTCTAAAGTAAAGCTCAAAATTTTGCAGCAGCAGTGTTGAATAGGCTACATTATATCTAAATGAGGGATTTGAATAAAACCTACAAATAAAAATTGGGGGAAAAAAAATATAAGTTGATAATTCTATCATACGTTGGTTTATGTATCAAGAGGGTTAGGGGTTAGAGGTACGTTGAAGTGGAAACTTGTAGAGGGTTGGATATTAAGCTAAATTAAAAATATTAACAAAGTAGAAAACCACATGGGGAGATTCCAACATGAAATGTTTTCTCCCTTTCACAAAACAAATCTAAAGTTAGTTTGATTTTTACAGAAAAAGACTGCCGATATTTTGATGCTCTAATCAAAAGAATGGTTTCTCGAATGGATCTTTTTATGATAAAGGATGGCAATTAGGAATAAAGGCAGCAGCTAAATGAGTTATCCTGATTGTGTGGTCTGGCAAAGGGTCGTGCTCTGTAAATTTAAGACTGTGACTGTTGAATCGGATGAAGAACCAGTATATTACATTTTGTCACTGCCTTGCTGCAGGAGGCAATTTGGTTGACATGTGTAAGTCATTAAACGGAGCAAAGATTGTAGAGAAGAAAAGGGAATGAAGGCAATAAAGGGGCAAACATAGTAGGAAGGAGGGAAACGAGACTGGTCGAGTAGAGTGGGAACGTAATCCATTTTGGATCACATTCCACCATGACCTTGGAACAGAAAATGGTAATTAGGGAGTTCTTTGGGAAGCTCTGGGAGTGTAAAAATCTTAAAGCTGCCGTTTGTGCTTAAAAATGTTTTTTTGATACAGTGAGACCAGTACTAAAGTTGGAGGGTTACAAAATAAATGTGCTAAAAATACCAGACACCCACTTCTGTGACATTTTTTCAGTTGCTGTCTTGGTTTGTTTATTTCAGTTCTTCAAGCTTGAATGGGTGTCAAAGCCACAGCATAAACATACTGAGGCCCTGACAGGAAAAGGCCAGAACAAACTGTGGCCTTGTCCTTCTGTCTACTCTTACTCTAGTCATGGTGGACTAGTTGGTACCCCACAATATTGAAATGCAGACTTTTTTAACATATGAACTTAGATTAAGTTCGGAAAGTAAAAAGATTTATTGTTTTAGATAGCTGATAGACGGAAGCATAAAAATATCTATTATTCATTGAAAAACTCATTTGATTACAGTAAGTTCTTAATCAGAAAAAAAAACTTATTTGTGCAGGAAAAACATGCTGGAAATTTCCTTCACGTTGCTAAAGAATAAAGTTGGAAACACAATTACACACAGTCCAGTAACCATATGGGAGGCAACCAACCTATTTGGATATTTATAGATCTAAGTTTTGTTATGTTTGCAGACATTTTGGAGATTGTAGTTCTCCCAAGAAAACAGTGTTCTAAGCTAAATAACCCTGATTTTTCACAACATGCAAAGCAGATGCAAAATCCACCATCCTTTACTGAAGCTAGACTGCAGGATAGTTGCATGCTGAGAGTATGCAGAAATTTACTTCAGAACTTACTCTGGATTGCCACAAACCTTAATTAGTGAAATGGGGTTAGGGTGTATCCAATAAATCATGTCAAGGCTAGGGCTGAACGATTTGGCAAAAATAAAAATTGGGATTATTTTCAGTGTTGCAGTTTTTTTAATTCTTTTTCAAAATTGTCTATTTTTTTAAATTTCTGTGCAATGACCGGAAACCTTTAGATGTTTCAATCCAGGGTTTTTTATTTTTTTTATTTTTTTATGACCTTGAAAGCATTCTTCTCCAGCGTCAATTGTTGCAAAACTTTACTCTAACCTTTGTTTGGAAAAGTGCTTACTTCTACTTGTATGCATAGATCTACCTACTAGCGGGAAGTCTGTTTGGTTTTTTATAGTACCAAACCCACTTAAAACAGATAACCACCACCTAAAGGACTAGAGAGAGAGAAAGAATCTGTCTCTTGTCTTGATAAATGTAAAGTGACCAAATGTGATTGCCTCCGTGATTTGAAAATTGCCTTTTCTTAAATCGGATTATATTGCATATGCAATCAACTGCCCAGCCCTTGTTAAGAAAGCTAGAAAATAAAATCTCTCTCAAAGCCCTACTTACTAATGTCACTTATTTACTTAGCCCCTTTGTACCCCTCTGGTACTTCTATATCTCACACTTTGTATTGATCTGCAACAATTTTGTAACAATGTATGAAATTATAATTATAGAACATGCCCAGATCTCTTATTTTTTTTATCATTTGATATATTTTATGTTGTATAAGCAGAACTGTATGAAATAGGAGCAGATAGACTACTTTGATTACAGTTAGCAAAACATATTCAAACCTTTTATAATTTCCATTTGTATCATGTTATCACAATGAGACCCCAATATGTTTATCACAAGACCCATTTTAAGATTTTTAATTTGACTTATTATCAGTTAAATGAATGTCAGAATGCAAAGTGACGTAAACTACTAAAGTACATCATGGACACCATTTGACCAGCTCTCAACTGATGTTAGAATCAACAGGCTATTTATAAATTATATGTCTAACCATGTGTCCCCCTGATTTTATCTGCTGGTTGACCTGCTCAAAGAAAATTGTATATTTATACAGGGTTGGTCTTATATAAAGTGTGTAATTGATTAAATGAGTGTTTTTAACATGCATGCTCCT